AATTAACTTTGTTACACCTGATCACCCCAAAATCTGAAAATATTGTAGTCTGGACCAAAACAAATTTTCAAGTCTATAACAATTTTTATTTTTAACAAAGAATGACATGGACTGAGATGCACCAAGTTGCAACTGTGGATTTCTAGTTTAACATTTATTTTTCACATCTCACTAATGAAATTTTTTTCACATATAGGGACTATTATTAAAAATCCTTTAAGCAGCGTTTCAAATGACAGATATTCCCTCTCAAGTAATTTGCGAGGATAAGTTGACTAAGCCAAGCATTCCTGTCTAGACTCAGCAAGCATGCAGTTAACAACAGCTAAATACAAACTTTCTCTGAAGTTTGTAGAGTGCCCTGTAGCTTTTCAAATATGACATGAAATTATACATCGTAATATTAATATAAACATAGTTTCCAAGTCCATCACTTACCAATGGCCCGCCGCCTAGTATGACAGGACACAGAAAGAAATGTATATTAAATGGATTCTTTTGACAAAATCAGCTTTAACTTTATGTTCAGGAGTGAATATCTTTGTTATCACTTATTTGATTTTCACATTCCTTTTTGTTTGGAGTTTAGAAAATAACAATAGGCCATTTTGCTTGTGTCTTGCATGGGGATTAACTATTTTGTTCTACTTAATAAGAAAAACTCAAAAATATGCAAAGTAGATAGCGAAGTATAGCAAAACAAAAAGTAAGCTATCAAACACTTAAAAAAAGAAACCTCTCTTCAGAAAATTCCATAATGATTTTTTCTCATGTTTTGGTTAAAATACATTCGTATTGAAATCTTGAACTTTAAAGGGACACTAGACACCAGAAAAATTACAGCTTATTGTATTTGCTCTGGTGAGTATAATCATTCCATTCAGGCTGTTGTAGTGGAGCATGTTTCATTTTGGGGGTTCCTGTACAAAGACCAATTAACGCTCTCCCTGGCTCTTAAGGAGTGTGACGAGACCAATCTTGCCACTGTGTCTTGGAGGAACCTGGTTGCCCGCCTGCTGCCTTTAGACTATGGACCCATGTTGAAATGCTTGATTTTCCCCTGCGAAGACTTGAAAGTCAGGTCATTCGGTGCTTGCCCTGTTTCAGCGGTGATACCCCAGATAGCTATGCCATGGAGCCCATTCGTTTAATGAAAGACTATGGGAAAGACTTTGGCTCCATGGCAATTGAACTGTATGTGTGTGGTCTGAGTGCCATTCATTAATAATGTGTGCTCAGACCTAAGCTATCTTCTAACTTCTTGAGCTATGCGAAGGGACATCAAATATCATCCATCCATACTGACATCCATCAGTATGACCTACTCTGCATGAAAAAGCATTCAGATAGACACAAACTCTGTTTCCTCAGACTTCATTGCCACTAATGACATCCATGAGCACTGTCTCATTTCGACTGCAGTTATTAGTAAAAATCTCCAGGGACACCATACATATTTATTAGCATTGTATCTTCTAACATTTGAAATGTTGTTGTTTTAAAAAAAAACAAAAAAACGAATAAATATTCCCTCCCTTCCTCTCCCTCCATTCCCATTCACTTACCCGATCACCGCCGTTCCCCCTCTGGTGATCGGTCTTCTTCTCCACTGGGGGGGGGACTGTTTGACAGCCCAGACAGTCCCCCCTCTAAAAAAAGGGTAAATGTTGCATGTCTGTATTTTATGTAATAAATGTAACCTTGTGTATTTTATTGTATTTTACTGTCTTTTTACTGCCATGTGCTTAATGGAGTTTTGCCTCTGTCCTTGGAGATAATTGGATTGCTTCCCAATTATCTCCAGGATAGAAGACTCTGTGGAACTGGTTTCGGGCAGAAAAGCCATGCTTCATTTGGTCACAAAGGACTTCGATCTATCTTTTGAACCAATGGACCAATTTGGATGATTTTGACATATGTTTGTATTTGGAGTATGCTGAGTCTAAAAATGTTTTATGTGAATGTGATGCATACTTTTCAAGTTATGAATCATGTGGAAAAAACTGTATTTCTCTGCCAGTGATAATTACATTACCCATTGTGTAAGGTAATTGTATCACAGGCAGAGGGGAGGATTTTGTGTGGGAGTGTCTGAGTGTATTGTATGTGTTTATTGGTTGTTTTCCAAAACCCTGTAAGAACAATAAAACCCACAGCTCTGTCTGTTCCTGCTTGACCCTCAAAACAGAGCCTTGTCTCATTTTTGGGGGGATTTATTGTATGCTGTTCCAGTTCGACTGCTAGGAGTGTAAACCTATTCGTATGGTTTTTCCTATTCGGCTGTTTACAGCATTCATATGGTTTCCTGTTCGGCGGATTGGTGTTCTGCAGTAGCTGTGCCTGTGTCTCTGGAAGGGAGGATCTACTAAATGGTGGTTTAACCCTTTTATGCCTGGTGCTGCCGTTACAAGGAGCGAATGCTCCCCCCAGTCGGTAGTTTCTATCTCTCAAACGTGTTTTGTGTAGCTGGTCGGGAAAGTGTATGGGCAGCAGTATCATCTCTGCAGGGGTCCGCGAGAACTTACCTCCATGTACTGCTGCCAATGTTCGGGAGACAAAATTGCCATGCACTGGACCACGTGCGTTTGGTTATACGAATGGCGGACACCCAGGGAAAGCACTTAACCTAATCCTTTAATTGCAGTTAACAGCCAGGAGTGGTTGGTGTTCTGAGTCATTAAAGAGGGGGACCACTCAAGTTCTGTTCGGTCCACGAACAGTGGGATACATGCCTGTTCGGGAAAGATACACATTAGTTCAGGCAACCTCAGGGAATGATACCAGGTCCACCACAGCAGTAAACAGTGTATTTGCAAATAAAAAATAAAAAAATAAATATTCCCTCCCTCTCCCTCCATTCCCATTCACTTACCCGATCGCTGCTGTTCCCCCTCTGGTGATCGGTCTTCTTCTCCACTGGGGGGGGGACTGTTTGACAGCCCAGACAGTCCCCCCTCTAAAAACAGTTTCAAAAACTTTAAAAATAAAGTTAATAAATTAAAAAAATAAAAATAAATATATACACACACACACACCATATATTATATCTAAATATATATATATATATATATATATATATATATATATATAAAACATCATACTAAGTGTATTTTTTATAAATATATTATCAAAATACACTTAGAATAAAATTACATATATATATATATGTATATATATATATATATATATATATATCTAATAAAATAATAAATAATAATTAATAAAAATAAATTATTTTCTTTTTTAAATAAATCAAAATTTAAAAAATTATTTATATATGTATATATATATATATATATATATATATATATGTGTGTGTGTGTGTGTGTGTGTCATTTTATTCTAATTGTATTTTGATATTAATATATATTTATATCAAATTCCTTTTTTTTTGTGTGGGTAATAAGGTCCTTCTTGTATGACAGGTGGAGGGACGAGTGCCTGTGATGAAGTGCCCTTCGCCACTTGTGCCTGGCGGGGACTACTGGCTAGCCTCCTGCCTTCCGACTATGGCCCATGTGCTGATAGCGGTATTTTCCCCTGCAGAAAGGTTTATTTGTGTATTTCTGCTGGGGCGTTCTGGACTTTCAGTATGGTAGTAGTGCTATCCCAGATAGCTATGCCATGGAGCCTATTTGTGTAACAAAAGACTATGGAAAAGACTTTGGCTCCATGGCGATTGAATTGTATGTATGTGATCTGAGCGCCATTCAATAATAATGTGCACTCAGATCTAAGCTATCTGGGGATATGTTGCATGTATATGTTTTATATAGTAATTGTAACATTGTGTAATTTTATGTGTTTTTGTAACCATGTGGTTAATGGAGTCTTGCCTCTGTCCTGGGAGAAAATTTGATTACTTCCCAATTATCTCCAGGATAGAGAGGAGGGATTGTGATGTCACTGTGGGAGTGTTTTGTTTGTATTGTCTGTGATTGGTTATACTGGGTCCCACCCTGTGGGATGTCCCCTTGCATGGGGACTTGCATAAAAGCCAGTGTGTGGTCATTAAAACCAGATCATCTTGAACCTTTCTTGAAGCCTTGGCTCATGTTTGGGGGAAGGGATACCCACACTCTGGTGATTGCTATAATCACTTACTCCCCAGAGTAAGCTCTTGCAATAGCTTGATTTGTCCCTGCTACGCTCTCTGGATTTAGGAGAGGTTCACCCACTGGGAGCTGGATCCTGGTCATGGATCCAGGGTGGGTGGAGACGGCGAGACTCCGGCGCAGCTGTATCGCTGGAAGTGGGGTCTGCAGTGCTGATGGTGTCGGTTAGAGTGCTTGGAGTCCTCGGCAGGCGCTAGGAGCATCGATTGGCGGAGGTACTCAGTCGGAGTGCCAGCGTTCCATCACAGTGCCTATGCATATTGTTTTTATACTTACACGTACATGGTTTATACCACTGTTTTTAAACTTTAGCGTGCCCGGGTCTCTCCTTCTGTACTCTCTGTGGCTTATAAATAGTCCCTTGTACATATTCCTATATTCCTACACCAATATCTGTAGATAAGGTTTCTCACCTCTATTCATTTTCTCACTAGCAATTAACTTCTCTTGTATGGGTTAATAGTATCATATGACTTTTTTTCACAGAACCTCGGTTTCACTTTTTCACTCTCCAATCACCTTCTAATTGTTGTATATTTAAACGGTTGCTGCACTGTTGTAAATTGTCTTGATAAAAGTCCGTCTGGACTGAAACGTCGACTTTGTATGCATTTGTTTGCTTAAATAAAACACTTATTTGAATTCAAAAAGTCCTGTGAGTGCACTCTTCATGGATTATATATATATATATATATATATTTATATATTTAAATTCTATGTGCATATTTATGTAATATTTTTACATTATTAAGTAATTTTATTGATTGCAATTTGGGGGACCTGCCTGGGAACCCAGGCAGAAAGTTCTGAGAATTTAATTTGCTAGCACTATATTTAACCCTGTAACTTTCCAAGACACCCTAAAACCTGTACATTGGGGGTATTGTTTTACTCGGTAGATTTCACTGAACACAAATATTAGTGTTTTAAAGCAGTAAAACATATCACAGTGATGATATTGTAAGTGATATTGCATTTTTCACACACAAATGCCACTTTCACTGATGATATCATTGTTGCGATACATTTTACTGAACACTAATATTTGTTTTCAGTGAAGTCTCCTCCCAAGTATACCAGGACCCCCAAAGTACAGGTTTTATAGTGTTTTTGAAAGTTACAGGGTCAACTATAAGGCTTGATTTGTCAGTTTTTTTCAATTTGCCAGTTTGGTTATGTTGCCTTTAAGAGTGTATGGTAGCCCAGGAACGAAAATTATCCCCATTTGCAAAAGAAGACAAACCAAGGTATTGAAAATGGGGTATGTTCAGTCTTTTTTAGTAGCCACTCAGTCACAAACACTGGCCAAAATTAGTGTTCATTATTGTTTTTTGCATTTTTAACACACAGACAAATATAATGCTAACTTTGGTCAGTTTTTGTGACTAAGTGGCTACTAAAAAAGACTGGACACACCTCATATTGAATACCCTGGGTTGTCTACTTTAAAAAAAGTATGGTTTGATGGGGGTAAATTACATTGGCTGGCTTAAAAAATGTCCCTGTCACGGTTCTCACTGTGATATCCAGACGAGGTAACCCCAGAAGTGCCCAACAGGGGATCTGAACCTGGGTACTTTGCGGTCCTAGGCCTGCTTTCTTGCCTTAAGCCACAGCAGCTCCTATTCCTCTGAGTATTTCTAGCCCTGTTCTACCTGGCTATGTCTCCAGCACTAGGAGTGACTTTTCCTGTGGCTGATCCAGTCACAGGAAAAGCCAGGTATAAAACACTGCCTATTTCTGAGGGCAGTGTCAGTTCATTGACTCTGGTTCCTGTATTTGTGTTCTTGATCCAGTGTTCTCCAGATGGATCCTGACCTTGACTTATCTTCATTTATCCTGACCTCTGGCATTCTCTGACCTTGGCTTACCCTTGTTTATCCTGACCTCTGACATCCTCTGACCTTGGCTTACCCTTGTTTATCCTGACCTCTGGCATCCTCTGACTTTGGCTTACCCTTGTTTATCCTGACCTCTGGCATCCTCTGACTTTGGTTTCTCCTCGACAATCCTCCTGCTTGTGTCATGCCTGTACTGCGACTTGGAGCTAGATCTTGCACAGACTCACAGGCCAGGTGGCTTCTTATCTGGTCACCTTGGTATGTGTTTATTTGCAAGGGTGAGCGTATATATCTGCATACTGGACTCCATATCACCAATTATTATTTTTTTAATTTGGCATAGATTGGTGGTAAAATGGTTGCGTGAAAAGAGTCAAAATACCCCAGGTTTAATACCTTAGGTTGTCTTCTTTTAAGAAATATATACATATGAACTGTTATTCATGGAGTCCTGACAGATCAGTGTTACAATGTAACTTGTGGTAATTTTGAAAAAATGGTTTAGAAAAAGCAAAGTGCTCCTTATACTTATTGCCCTATAACTTGCAAAAAAAAAGCTAAGAACATGTTAACATTGGGTATTTCTAAACTCAGGACAAACTTTAGAAACTATTTATCATGGGTGTTTTTTTGGAGGTTGTAAATGCGTAACAGATTTTGGGGATCAAAGTTAGAAAAAGTGTGTTTTTCTTTTTTTACATTTTTTCATCATATTTTATAAAACATTTTTTATAGTAAATTATATTAAATGATGAAAATCATGGTAACTTTAGAATGACCAGTTAATGGTGAGAAAAACTATATAATGTGTGTGGTTACAGTAAATGAGTAACAGGAAAATTACTGCTAAACACAATCACCGTAGAAATGTAAAAACAGCCCTGGTCCCAAAGAAAATTGAAAAGCGGGCTGGTCACTAAGAGGTTAAACTGTGATGTCTTTAAGCTGTGATGCCTTTTATACTGTGATGCCTTTATACAGTGGTGCTTTTACATTTTTACTTTTGCACCTTGTTTCCTTTTAATCTCCTTGTAGGCACTTTTACCTTATTTCTTATGTTTCCCCTCAGTCCCGGCAGGGCCGGACTGGGGATACGAAACAGCCCTGGAAAAAAATCTATGCCAGCCCCATAAGTCATTGTGCTATGTAGGGTGTATATATATATATATTATATATATATATATACACACACAATTGAAATAGTTGGCTGCACTCTCGGATTTCCTGAAAATGTAACTTTTATTGAAATATTTAAGAGAAGATCAATGTTTCAGTCCCTCTTGTGGACTTTCGTCAGGATCATGACGAAAGTCCACAAGAGGGACTGAAACGTTGATCTTCTCTTAAATATTTCAATAAAAGTTAAATTTTCAGGAAATCCGAGAGTGCAGCCAACTATTTCAATTGCCTATATATATATAGGCAATTTAAATAGTTGGCTGCACACTCATGCTTACTACAAACAAGCTCACTGTACACACATGCTCACCACTGACAGGCTCCGACACACCCATGCTCCTTACAGACAAGCTCACTAACACACACACACATATGATCCCTACAGACAAACTCACTGACACACATACAAGCTCACTCACTAGCAGGCACACACACACACAAACTCACTAGCAGGCACACACACACACACACACAGGCTCCCTCACTAGCAGATGCGCGCACACACACACAGAGGCAGACAGTCACTGACACCCAGGCAGACAGCCACACTCACAGGCAGTCACACACAGACAGTCACACACTCACACAGAGACAGTCACAAACTCTCAGGCAGTCACACACTCACACAGACAGTCACACACAGTCACACACTCACACAGACAGTCACACACTCACAGACAGTCACACACTCACAGGCAGTCACACACTCACAGGCAGTCACACACTCACACAGACAGTCACACACTCACACAGACAGTCACACACAGACAGTCACACACTCACACAGGCAGTCACACACTCACACAGACAGTCACACACAGTCACACAGAGACAGTCACACACTCACAGGCAGTCACACACTCACACAGAGACAGTCACACACTCACAGGCAGTCACTCACACACTCACAGGCAGTCACACACACACACACACACATACTCACAGGCAGTCACACACTCACACACAGACAGTCACACACTGACACTCACACACTGACCTCCTTCTTTCCTCCTGCTTGGAGTTCCTGGAGGCTGGTTGTTGGGGAAGCAGGGACTCCTTCCTGTTTCCCATGCTGCAGTCAGCCAGGCCCGCTGCAGGTAAGCCCCGCCCCCGCCGCAGCTAAGCCCCGCCCCTGCCGCACGTAAAGCCCCGCCCCCGCCGCATTTTTTTTTACATTTTTTTTTTATGATCCCGGCGGGCCATGTGTGAGCTGTGTCGGCCGGTTCCCCCTGCTCCAATGGGGCTCTGTGCGGCCGGAGCTGTCAGCCCAATGATTAGGGCTGTCAGACCGGCCCCAGGTGCCGTGGCCCACCGGGAAATTTCCCGGTATCCCGGTGGGCCAGTCCGGCCCTGAGTCCCGGAGATTTAATATTGGTTCCCTGCAGACCGAGCTCTCTCTCTCCGGTCTCTAAATGGCAAATGCACTCGGAAGACGCTCGCGCATGTGCAGTTTGTGCCTTAAAGAGCCCAATACCGACACACCCATGCTCCTTACAGTCAAGCTCACTAACACACACACACATATGATCCCTACAGACAAACTCACTGACACACATACAAGCTCACTCACTAGCAGGCACACACACACACAAACTCACTAGCAGGCACACACACACACACAGGCTCCCTCACTAGCAGATGCGCGCACACACACACAGAGGCAGACATTCACTGACACCCAGGCAGACAGCCACACTCACAGGCAGTCACACACAGACAGTCACACACTCACACAGAGACAGTCACACACTCACAGGCAGTCACACACTCACACAGACAGTCACACACAATTTTACACTCACACAGACAGTCACACACTTTCACAGACAGTCACACACTCACACAGAGACAGTCACACACTCACAGGCAGTCACACTCACACAGACAGTCACACACTCACAGTCACACCTCACACAGAGACAGTCACACACTCACAGGCAGTCACACACTCACACAGAGACAGTACACACTCTGACAGTCACTCCCTCACACACTCACAGGCTTGATCACACACACAGACAGTCACACACTCACACAGACAGTCACACACTCACACAGAGACAGTCACACACTCACACAGAGACAGTCACACACAGACACACTGACCTCCTTCTTACCTCCTGCTTGGAGCTCCTGGAGGCTGGTTGTTGGGGAAGCAGGGACTCCTTCCTGCTTCCCATGCTGCAGTCAGCCAGGCCCCCGCTGCACAGTAAGCCCCGCCCCACCGCACGCTAAGCCCCGCCCCGCTAGCTCCGCCCCTGTCGCACTAAGCTCCGCCCCCACCGCAAATGTAATTTATTTTTTTTATGATCCCGGCCGGCCATGTGTCAGCTGTACCGGCCGCCTGGCTCCCCCTGCTCCCATGGGGCTCTGTGCGGCCGCACAGCTCACACATGGCCGGCCGGGATCACAGGAGCTGTCAGCCCAATGATTAGGGCTGTCAGACCGGCCCCAGGTGCCGTGGCCCACCGGGAAATTTCCCGGTATCCCGGTGGGCCAGTTCGGCCCTGAGTCCCGGAGATTTAATATTGGTTCCCTGAAGACCGAGCTCTCTCTCTCCGGTCTCTAAATGGCAAATGCACTCGGAAGACGCTCGCGCATGTGCAGTTTGTGCCTTAAAGAGCCCAATTCCGATGACTTGCTTTATGGGAATACAAGTTGTGGCAGCCATCTTGGATAAGGGCAATTGCCAGAAGGTACCTAAAATGGAGGGGCAATCACACTTTGGAATACTTTGGAAAGTATTTGCAGGGTCTCCAGACATGGTTAAGCGCGGTTTTCAGCCAGTTTTAAATCTGTTTGACTTTCCTTGGTAATATAATTTGACAGTGCCCTTTTTTACGTTAGTACTTTGCCACAGGTGATATTTATTTTATTGTTTGTTTGATATCTGCATCTACATCATGTTTTGATTGTGATGGGAATGCAGTGGAAGGAAAACTGTTAAGCATTGACTGTCTTCAGAAGGTAACCTCTTCAGCATCACCTATACCTGCACAGCCACAGGACATATTGGCATAGCTTACAAAGGAAATTGCAATGTATTATCTGAATCTAC